AGACAGAAAATTAAAACAATCACTTGTCCAGTGCTTCCTGTTCAATGTGATTTCGCCAAGACAAAAAACAACAACAACAAAAAAAAAAAAACACCTAGTTTCACATTCAAAGGCTCACACAGAAACCCTGAAGTAGAATAAGAAATAAAATAACTTAATTACAAAAAAGTTCTACAATATATTTCACACTGTTCAATAAGGGCAAGTGGGAGACAAAAGACTTAAGGACAGAACCAGTCAGCCAAATGATCCAACAAACAAAAAATCCTAGGACAACCCCATTCAGAGTGGGACAGGCCAGAGCAAGGTCATGGTTACAGGGAAAGAATAAAGGGTTCCTGCCACACACAATTCATAACGGGCCAACTGGTAAGTACTGCTTCAAACAGGGTGAGGACACAAGGGTCAAAAAAGCCTCCTTCCTTCATGTTCTGTATTAATTACATACAATATTGCCACTGTGAGCCACAATGATGGGGTCTCCTACCAGTTATGATTTGAGACCCCCTGGGTAGGTCACACTGTCTCCAAACCTCACTTCCACTGATGGACTGAAATACCACCATTGATTTTTATGTGTCTTAAAGGATTTTCCAGTCTTCAAACATTTCCTTTAAAGAATAACATACTGACCCCAGGAGTGAGGCCATCCCTTAAAGCCATTGTAATAAACTCCTGGAAATACCAGTATAAATGCTGCTTCTACTTTGAGGTCTTGACAAATTCCTCCCAGCCGAATTCTCGTTCATTTTGTTGGTGGGGCCACCAGGCCCAGTACATAAGTTTGCCTGTGTACTTCATTTTGCTTTAATAAAATCATCCATTTAAATGTCAGCCACTCTCACTACAATCAGTGTTTGGGGGAAGGGACAAAGGCAAGATGAATATTTATCAACAACTGGACGTGCACATGTCCTTTTCTGGGCAGTCCTTGTTTATTCCACTTGGCAAGTGCAATGCCTGACAGTGCCTCCTGTCACTCTCAAGAGGGCACAGTTTGAATGATAAGGCAGGTACAAGAATAATCTGCAGGGATTAACCACTCTCTCCTGCCCAGGGCCTCAGCTGAGATCATGTGGGCTTCTCAAGCAGTGATGCCCACAGCTTAGCAGGGAAAACCCACTCATGTGGCCTTTGGGCAGTAAGCAGCCACCCTCCCCGCATAAAGGGCATTCCAGGCAAAAATCTGCTGGTCTGCAATGGGCCCAAGATTAAGAGAGAAGGTTTCCTCAAAAGGAAAACTGTGCAAAGGCAACAAAGCAAGATAAAGTGACGCACCTGCCACCATGAGGTGCAGGATGGCCTCATCATAGGACCTGCCTTCTTGGAAGTAACAGCGGTAGAAGCCGTCCTCCTGGGCTGTGACGTTGTGTATGACCAGGGCCACACTCCCCTTGCTGATGTCTTTGCTCACAAAGGTGGTTCTTCCTCGGTAGTCCTCCATCTGCTCCTCTGCTCTCTCTAGCCCACCCTTGTACACCAGCACCGCCGGGGAGAACTGCGACCGGAACCACCGCACCTCCATGTCCTCAGCATTTTTCTCGGGAGACAGGTGGCAGCTTAATGTGATGTTGCCTCCCACCATGGCCAGGATTGGATCTGCTGGTCCCACGACAGTAAACTGTGCTGCCCAACAAAGGGGAAGAATCAGAGGGAACACCAGGCATCAAATATCTCAGGCAGGAAAGGAAATGGATATTCCGGGGGACACATAAATTCTTTCCAAGGCCACAGGAACTTCCTGGGCTGAGGAAGGATTTGGGGGACCAGTAGCCACGTGGCTGACCCTTGGGAGTGGTACCTATTGAAGCTGCTAATGCTTCATTAGCAACACATTGAGGAGGTCACCCTGATCACCTCTAGGACCTGTGCTCCCTAGGACTTTTCCTCTATTTCCCAATCTAGTGCAGTGCTTGAGTGTAGTATGAACTTGAGCTGCCCAATAGGGGAGCCACAAGCCTAGTTTCAATCAAAATGACCTGAAAGTGTAAAATACACACAAGATTTTGAAGATTTAAAATTTAAAAATGTTAAAATTCTCATTTGTAATATTTTGCAGTAAAAAGCATTTAAATGTTAATTTTTGGTTAGTTGCAGTTAAATGAAATATATTATTAAAATTTACTTTATGGTTCTGTTTACTTTTTAAAATAAAAGGTAGAAAAAAATTTTTTTGATAATTTACAACTATATACGCAGCTCGCCTTTGTGGCTCTCAATGCATTTCTTTTGGGCAGTGCTGGTATAAATTTGATGAACACGCTCAGACTAAAACAAGAGTCCACAGGGCTGCAGTCCTTCTTAGCTCCTCCTCGTTGCAGACTGCAGAGCTGGTGCTGCTTTCTGAGAAGGTGACAGGAGCAAGTGGCCTGCATCCCTACCTGAGACTCGGGCAAACAGGCTGAGGAGCAGGGAGAGGAGAAGGGCGGCCGGCAGGGAGAAGGGTCTGGAGGCAGCTGGCTCCATAAGCACAAGGACGGAGTCACCCCGGACAGGCAGGGACCAGGACCTAGCGGTGCAGAGGAGGAGAAGTCAGCAGAGGAGAAGAACTCGGCAGAGCAGACTGGGCACCGCAGCTGCCATCTACGTCAAACTCGCCCGTCACCACGTGGTCGCATCAGCGCCCTAACTTCCGGCTTGGGCAGCCTCCTTGGTCCCACGGTTCAGGTGCCTCCTGACAGGTGGGTTCGTGAGACGCGCCATGAAATAAGCCACTAGCACCGCGCGGCGGCAGGCGGTGCCCGCCCTCCTCGGCCCACGTCTCTCGCCAGAGGGCAGTTTCCTCAGTTGTCACTTGACAGCTTCCGCACTCCCTCCCTTCTCTTCTTCCTCCCTGTCAGCCAGGCCGGGCACCCACCGGGGGCTCCCTCTCCCAGGGACCCCGTTTTTCCTCCGCAGCAGGTTCCCGGCCCCCTCCCGCCCACCCCGGAGCTGCAGCGCTTCCCTCCCTTTCCTGCCTTCTCCAGTTAACCGCGCGTCTTCCTCTGCCGACCCTCGAGGACCATTTTCCGGTCGTCTCTTTCCTTCTAACGCTCCCATGAGCACAGTCACCACCAGGGAACAAAACGTCGGGAAGACGGAGAGAAAACTTTTCTTCACCTCCCATCAGTCGCGACGTGCAGAGCTGCGGGACGGAGACCTGGGACCCGTTCACTCAGTGTCCCGTGCCCCAAGATTTCCTGTTAATGGTTTGGAGCTCGGGATTGGCCGGCTGAGGTCAGCCATCCAATGGTGTCCCTGAGCCTTAATTGTCACCAGTTACTGGGTAGAATATATGGAACCTGTTTAAAACAATTGTATGCAGCAAATAACCTTTGCGATCATCAGGTTTTTTAAATTTGCTTTTTCTTTTTCAGAAACAAGACATTTTTCATTTTTTTCCAAAGCCCTGAGGACCCCGGCAGATTGTGGCCTTTCTGCCAACCACGGGGAAAGACCTCTGTGTGCAGAAGTCTGTGTTGAGAAATGATTAGCTAAATGCCAGAGGAATCTTGTTCTAGTTCCTGGCTTTGGAGGTTGGGTGGGGGTGGGTTTGCTGGCAGGGGAAGGATTGTAGGGATCAGGCAAGGAATTGGGGGGGGGGGAAGGAAGTGAGACAGCAGCTGCAGCAGCTGTTATGAAGACCTCGTCATTCACTCACCACTATTGGGTAAGAAATGCTGAGGATACTGAGGGAGAGTCAGAAACCTTTTCCCTCAGGCGGGTGACATTCTAATGCGGGCAGGAGATAGAAGTAGACAGAGACTTCCCAGTTTTGTTTTAACATCTGCCAGTAGGTGGTCCGGTTGGGCCCAACCCCCACCCACACCCACACATACTCTCCTCCCACCAACGTGCCCCACAGACTCTAATCCAAAATCCAGGAATAGATTTTCTCCATAATAATCATCCTAAGGCACAGTTCTCAACAAGCCCCTTAAGTGTCTAAATGCTTCCTCAGAGTCCTAAGATCCCCTTTTGATTCAACTCAGAACTTTGCAGTTAACCCACTAGCGATGGACGCCCCTTGCCTGTGTCCCTCCTGCACCTGGGGCCAGCACTCCCTTTCCCATGACATTCCCCTCACCTGACCTATTCCCTCCATTTCTGCCTCTTGAAATCCTGCCTGGCCTTGATGTACAGCTCATCCAAGAACACTCAGGATGTTCCCAGCCTCTTCTGACACCCACAGTTTCTGCTGTTCCTGTTCTCCGTCCTGCATAATTGTTATTTAGGCAGCAATTGTATCTTCCAGTGACTGGAGTGTCTGTTTCTCAGGACAGGTATCTGGCAACGTCATTCCTCTCTCCTTACAAGTAACACTCTTGACTGTGCACTCAGTTGTGGTTCAGTGCACACGTGAGAAAGGTGTGTGTAGGTCATTTTCCCAACAGCATGACCTTGTTCCTGGAATCATCTGGCACCAGAACCAAGAACAAGGTGGCAGCAGGATCAGGCCACCCATGGTCAGCGGTTCTTGGACAGGGAAGGAGGATCAGAGGGACCCAGAAAAGGTTACCAAAGCAGGTTCCTTCTCTACTCTGCAGAGGGAAATCTTTGATTAGAATAAGCTACAGAAGGCCCCAAGAACTGCTTTTTATATTGTGCTGACCCTTGAACCATCTGATTCTCATAAAGCTGCCTCACTCATCGCCTGATGCTTGTGGTTTATAATTAAATTGGCTTCTGAGTTAAGCGACTAATGACAATAAAAATGTAGTAAATATTCGATCATTCCACTCAGGACTGAGTTGCTTTTGAGAAGTCCCAGAAGAGGGGAACATAAGGGTCAAAGAGCCTGGGCACCCACAGCTTTTATCTGAAGAAAATGAGGCCCAGGCCTTCTGAGGCCATTTATGCCAGATGCACCCAGTGAAGCCAGGCCTGGGCACCTGCCACGGCTGGCCTGAGCCAGAGGGAAACATATGTTCTGAGCAGGAGAAGGGTCCACTGCCCATGCAGTAGTTAGCAAGAGACCGTGTCCAACTGGGGTGTGCTCCATTGGGTGGTGAGAACCTGACCTAATCATTCTCTGCCTTGGGAGGAGTCAACACAGAGGGAGGGTCACCTTGGTATGGTTCTCCATGGACCTGGTGGACATGGCAGTACTGCAAGAGCCCAGAGTGACTTCTGATCCCCTGTTCTTTCCGAGAAACTCTAATTTCTTTTTTTCTTTTTTTTAGGAGCTGGTCACTGTGGGTATCCAAACCCATGACCTGAGTGGGTTATAACGCTATGCTCTATCTAACTGAGCCAACTGGACAGCCGAACTCCAATCTTTGAAAGCAATCTGTCTCCATCTCTTCCTGTGAGTCACCTCCAGCCATGGAGTCCTCCCTTTGAGGCCCAGACATATTGGAACACAGAACAAACATTTCTATTCTTACCTGTTCAAATTTCAGATTCTTGACTCTCAGAATCCATGAGCATAGTGAAACAGTGTGCAAGCTGCTAATTTTTAGGGCTGCAGCAATAGTAATTGGTACTTTTACCTTCTCAGAAGAGAAAATATCTCACCAAACACACAGCAGAAGTGATAATAGGCCCTCAAAGGAACCAGAGACAGGAGAGTTGCCCCAACTCTTTCCATCTCCAAGCTTTCTGTGCACTGCTGCTTTGGTCTTCTCTCTCTGCAGTCCAACTTTGAATTTCTGGACCACACTGTGAGTGGAATATGCCTTCCCACAGCTCCTATGCATACCTGCTACAGGTGTAACTGGTCAGATGTCACATGGGGATCCCCTAGCCTAGCCTGGGTCAGGTGTCCATCCCACATCCTGTCCACTTGTTAGGGCAGCAGGGCCATGTGATATGGACATGTGTTGGAAGAAAGGAGGTCACTACTGCTGCATGGTTGGGGATGGAGGCATCCCTCACCATGGAAGACAAGAAGGGCAGACAGAGTTTAGTAGGTATTCACTATGTTCACAGCAGGGCCCTGTGAACAGATGCTATTAATGCCTCATCCCATATCCTCTTGGCCCATCTCAGTTCACCCATAACTGAGGCACGCAGTTTCCTGAAAGGATAACAACTTCAGACCTCATGAGGCCTGCCTTCTTCTACCTTTCTGGGAGCCTTCTCCAATTCCAGTGGTGTTTGCTTTCTTGCAGATGCATGGTCCAGCCTGGAAGTGCAAGAGAATTAACAGCTCCAGGGGCAAACTTCAGCCAGTTCAAGTGAAAGACGATGGGAGCTGTGAGTAAATGCTCCACTCCAGGCTCACCAACCCTTAGGAAAATTTTGAGATTCATGTCACAATTTCATATGATTTCATAGAGAGTCCAGGGTGAGATTGAGCCCACCTATGTACATGGTAAGGGGCCCATTAATAAGCCCATCATGCCATTTCTTAATTGTTTTTCTGTCTTCTGTGTCTCAATTTATTTCTGCACTTGTGTTTCTGGCATACAATGACATTACCAATGTATAATAATTCTAATTTTGTGTGGTATGTGTATAGGTGGAAAAAAAAGGATGGGCAGAGAAAAGTTAGAAATGAAAAGAAGGGAAGGAGAAATGAAGGAGAGAAGGAGATAAGGTCATAAATAAAGGGTATGATTGTCAAATATGACCTGAAAATTCTTCTATTTATAATAACTCAGAGTGAGGGCATCAATTATGGATTAAATTATAAAAAGAAAACAAGAACAGTAAAAATAACTACCCAAGAAGGAGAAATTGGTCTGGGATTTGACGGGTGGGTAAGATTTGGAAAACTGATGGGAAATATGAAGGGTTTTCTAAGGGAACGTGAACAACAATGAAGAAACAAATAGTGAAGACATTTTCAGTGTGTTCATATGATGGGTACATCAATGTGGCCACAACGGAAGAGAGCTACTTTAAGTAATTCAGGGGAGTTTAGACTTAACGTTGAATGAATTCGAAATGAAATAAGAAGCAGTTCTGTTCTTAAATGAGTAATTTAATAAAAGCATGCTTTAGGAACATCCTAAGGTAAGCAAATGCAGGACTGATTTGCAGAGGACAGGAGTAAAGTCGGAAAGTAAGTTGAGGAGAGTCACCATGGGCACGGAAGATAAGGCAGGGCGGGAGGAATGGAGGAGGAGGAATAGAATTAGGGATGCTTCTGAGGAGGACTTGGCAAACTTTGATAATGAGCAGGGCATGGGCACCAGACATTTTTGAAATCAGAGACTTTCTGTGCACGTAAAGAAATCGGATCTAAGAAGGAATAAACCGAGGCCCACAACCCAAGGAACCTGTAAGTGTAAGTGCAAAAAATGTTTCTTTTACTGAGATTTTGCTGAGGTGCATTGTAATCAATATATGCTACTTCAGTGGCACTTTCCTCCTAGCTGAGGAATATTATCTTAGGTTGTAATGCTAAGACTGAGTCTGGGAGCCATTGAAATTTTATTAAAGAGGTGGCTCAGGTAATACAAATAGCTTCTTCATTGAAATTTGGGATTTTGTCAGCCCCAAAACTGTGAAAGCCGAACCTCGTTTTTCTTCTTTAGTAGCAGCAATCAAATATTTCAAATTCCAAAGAAATTAAAATATAAACTTAACCTCTTAAATCACCCAGTCGGGATATTATCCCAATATTATGAACTAAGTCACAACTAAAATTTAAAATAAAACATCTGGCTTTAATTTATTTGCAACAAAATATTATTTCTTTTGTTTAGGAAGAAGAAATGATTCTAACTATATTCTGAATATTAAGTAGAGTAGCTCTGCCATATAAATACATTAATGAATTTAAAGTTAATTATTGCATTTTTAAAAATATATACAATTATAGTATTCTTACTCTTTGAAGCTTTAGGCACTTCACCACCTTTAGAATTAAGAGTTAATTAGAAGTCTAAAATTAAAATTGCTGCATTAATGGAGGTTTCATTATTTTTCAAAGGGGAATTCTTAGATCTTTTATTGATACTATTGCTTTTGAATATCATATCAGCATGTTACTTTTATACTTCGAGGATTTTCAAACTAAGTAATGATCTTAATTTGTCTTGGAGTTTTAACCATTTGGTGACAAAACACAAAGAAAAAATTACATTCTAGAAATAAAGATGAAGAAAGAAAAGAAGGAAAAATAAAGAAGGAAATCAAACTATTTGGATAGTTTTAAATGAGTGGAAGAAAAATTTTTTTAAAAATGCTCAGATAAACAACTTACTAGAAGGAGAAATTCCAAGACTTCAGACACAGGGAAGGCAAGGGCGAAAAAGGCCAGACACTTTACTGGAAACAGAGGGTTTACGTTAAAGTTCAAATGCTAAATAGACTCACAGGCATCTTTTACCCCTTGTCCCTCAGGATGCTGGCTGCCAGGATTTCCCAGAGAATCTGGGCCAAGAGAAAAAAATCCAAAGAGATTAAAACTTGGGGGTCAGCCAAAAAAAGAGCTGAGTCTTGGCCAATTACTGTACTATAATGTCTAAAATTCAAAAGCCAAACATTTCATAGAGAACTTCTAATCAGCTCTTCATGTTTCATTCTTAAATGTGAATTGACATCCCAAGATCACCATGGTTCAGAGGAACAAGCAACAATAGCACACAATAGACCCAAGAGAACTTATAAATCAAGGAGGAAGATGGCATCAATCCAAGGAAATATCAGATGGCGTCAATCAAGGAAATATCTAACATGATGTCCACTGTGTAGTCATCACACAGGGCAAATCAGTTTAGAACTTAACCACACATGCCAGGGAGAGGGGACACAGTGAGGAGCAACAGTGGTGATGAGGATAAAGCATCTGTCAGTTGGAAGGAATGTCCTCTGAACCTCCACCAGTGCTCAGGAGTGTGTATACCCCTTTCCAGGAGATGGATTTCACGGAGTGGTTAAAAACACCCTGAAGTTCTTCTAGCTTCCTTTCTCCCAAATTCATATATCCCAGACAATGTTTAGGTTATTAGCTACACTTCCCAGAGACCTAGAACGTAAGAAGCTTGGTTCAGGCTCCATGATGGCACCAAACACAAAGAACTGTCATAGGGGATAACTGAATTATTTCCAGTAAAGTGCCTCAGTCTGTGCATGTAGCTTTACAGTTGTCACTGGCTGCTTTGGAGGAGGACGCCCTCAGCTGCAGACTGGCAGAGAGAAGCAAAGACCTTACATCAGCATGAGGCACCTGGCTCCCATGAGCTGGACCCTGGGTTAGTGGGGTCTCCAGGGAAAGGTCAGCGTTTAGGTCAGGAACAATGGGGACTTTCCGCTCCATTTGGTGCTGGGCAAACAGTCAGGGCAGTGGGCTCTAAAGTCAGAATTCTGAAAACAGGAAACAGAGGCCGAGAGAAGGAGGTGTGGGGAAAGGTGTAGACATGAGAGCCATCCAGAGCATTGTAGAACGAGACCTCTCCAGACTCATAGTCCAGGAACACCCCCACTCTTCGAGGGGGCTCGGCAATCTTCAGGTCGGTCCTGGGCTCTGTGAGAGCCCGATACTTCTCCCCGTCAGATAGCCCCATAGTCCAGTATCCATTCTCGGGTTTCATTTTAACCCAACCTTTTCTCTCCACGTTCTCTCTACACACCCCGATGTGCCAGTCTTTCCTGTCCCCCACTTCTACCTCCCAGTAATGCCTCCCTGATGTGAAGCTGTCACAGCCAAGCACGCAGTGATGCCAATCAAATCTCTCAGGGCTGTCTGGCAGATTCTCTTGCTCCTTTGCCTGCTGCAGACTCCTCTGGTCCTCAGAAATACGTAGGATGGGGTTTGCTGTGTCTGGATCCAGAATCACATCAGCTGCACAGTTTGAAGATGTGTCTGTGGGCTCAGCCATTCTTCCTGGACCTCACAGCCTCAACATTCCAGGCCTGAGCCTTGCCAAGGAGGCCAGAAACAGAGCCTGGCACCCCTCGGCTGCCCTGAACGTCACTCTAGTAACTAACATGGGAGAGGCCCCAGGGGTCCTGTGTCCAATGGGGAAGGGGAGGGGAGGGTGAAATGAGGGTCAAGGTCTGCCTAGCCAGATATCCTGATGCTGGCTCAGAAGGCAACAGGACTCCTTCCTTCTACATTTTTCTTGTTTCTTCCTGAAACTGACCCTGCCCATTTCAGCTTTCTAGCCACATACATTTAACTTTCACTTATCACTCCACCAGTGGTGACCTGAATGACTTTTCCTTTCTGCATAGTCTCTCTTTCCACACATCCAAGTGATGGAACATCATTGAGCCTTACCTGAAGCATTTCCTTACCTGAAAAGTGGGGATAAAAGTACTAATCTCTAGGGCTGTATAAGTCAACAGTGTAACTCACTAAGACCAGGGCAAGGCACAGAGGATGCACCTGACTGGTAACTGGTGCCATGCCTTCTCTGTGCTAGGGGCTATGTTGGGGGCTTTATGTGCCCCCACATCCACCCTCTTCTGGGTCCCAGGAATCTGTCCTGTATGGACAGCATCTCTGGGCTCCCTTGTCCTCTGATTTCCTGTTGGGTGTGGCCAGTGTGAGGCCGTGGAACCCACAGAAAATGAGCGTTTGGTTTTGATCTCATTATTCCTAGTGACAACGCCAATGGGTCCCTTCAGAGAAAAGGTTGAAATGTTCAGGGCACATGTCCCAGGAAACTCAGAGAGCTTCGGGGTCACTCACCAGCATAGGCTGAAGACTTCTCCCCACCTACAATGGAAGAAGCGAATAGATGTCACCTGGACTCTGCCATGTCTAGGTCATCCCCTTTCCCTTCTTTTTGACCTCCCCCCTTCCCTACCTTCTCTCTGTGCATGTACAAGGCTCTCCTCCCCTCTCCTCCTTCATTTCAAGTCAGGGAACATCAATGGCCCCCTAGTGATGCCGCAGGCACCGTGTGAGTGTCTTCCCACCTGTGGTCCGGCTGATCTACTGTGTGTACCTATGCTCCTGTATCTGGGAGAAGGTGTCGCCATGTCTATGTGTGTATGTGCAAGTGTACAAGATCCATCTGTCTCAATCTGTGCTATTTCCTGCCTCCTTCTGAAAAGAATTTGGGGAACTTAATGAGGAAATTTCTGGGACTAATTTTCCATAGCAGATACAGTAAGTGTGTAAGAACTGAGTCACTATAGCTACTCCTGTTTATGAGGGACAGATTTCCCCCTCCATCTTTTCCGATTTTCCCTTTCCTTATAATCGTCCATTCTTCTTTCCTTCTCCGCGTCCCACAGAGGATGTAAAGCAGCTAGTGCGGATCCTGGCATGGAGAAGGCACCTCATCTGTTGTTCCGTCCTCCTCTCCCCTTTTCTTTTCAATTGTATCCTGCATTTTCCTCTGTGCTTTGTGGGGCTAAAGGGTTGTGGGCCCCTAGAGGAGAGAGATTGAAGGCCTGTGCTGTCCTTCAAAGAAAATCAAATAATTGAAACAAAAGGAGAAAAAGAGACACTCCTGGGTGTCCCCCCAAACAGCCACACCTATTTTCTTTCCCACAGTAAAAGGATCTGGGGTCATTTGTCAACCCTGGGCAAAGGGCTAGGGCTGGAAACTACCCAAGCAGAGAGTCTGAGATTACAATTGTGAGAAAATGTCAGGGCCACTCACGAGTCATGTACTGGATTTTTCTCCACTCTGCAATGGAATAAACAGGAAGAGTCATCCAGTGGCTTAAAGCAGGGATAGGAAGCCACGCCTGGTCTCTGGGGACATGGGAACTTACTGAGTTCCTCCTGGAGCTTCTCTGGAAAATAAGCAGAAACAGTCATGAACTGTTAGCAGAGAGGGGACCTTCTGGAAAATAAACCTTAGCAACTACACAGCGCCTGGGTGGGGATGGGGGTGAGGTGTTCGGGCGCAGGCCTGGAAGCCAGGGGTTCGATTCCCTGCCGAGGCCAGATACCTGTCGCGTTTCGTTCCTGCTCCTTTTCGGCCCGAGCCTTTTCCTTCTCTTCCTGTTCTCGCTCTTTCTCCTGGGACAGCGCCTTTTTCTCCTCCTGCTGTCGCCACAGGAAGTAACCGGCCCCTGCAAGAAGCAGCAACAAGGCCGGCAGGGTCGCTGCCAGGGCTGTGATCCAGGGCTGGGCGCTCCTGAAGAAGGGGCCTGCGAGGGGACAAGGGGACGAAGGGCCTGGGCTGTGGGCAGTGGGTGGGACACGCCCGCCCCCTCCCCAGCCTGTGGGTCCGGAGCTTCAGCTGCTCAACCGCTTGGGGGGGGGCCACTCATTTACCCCATGAGAGCAAGTCATGTTTCTCTTCCTAAAGTGTCAGAGCACCGTGCACGTGCGCCTGTCGCACGGATAGCCAGTGACATGAGTGCCACGAGCATGGAGATACTGTCTAATACCCAAGTCTCTCACCACACAGCCCTCCTCCTCTCTCCCCCATCGATTAGCTTCTCATTTGTCATCTTAATATGATGGTGAAGAACATAAACTGTGGAGCCGGAGGGCCTGGGTTCTAATTGTGACTCCTCCACTTGACTAGCAGTGCGACCCTGGACTAGTTACTTAACTGTGTGTTCCTAGTGTCCTTATGGGTAAAGTGGGGTAATAATAGCACCTACTCCTGACGTTAGAGGGGTGAAATGAATGCTTAGAAAGTGGTTGACATATAGCGAGTGTTGTATAACTGTTAAATTTAGAAAACATAAATAGAAATATATTCCTACTTTTCGTCTTCTTTACACTAAAGATAGCATTCTATGTTCATTGCTCTGCATCTTGCTCTTTCTGTGTAAACTGTACCTCGGAAATTTTTCTATATTAGTTTAGCGAGAATTTCTTTGTTTCCATTCACACCTGTGCAGTATTTCCTTGTATGGAAGTTCCCCATCAGGAAACATTTGCATAGCTTGTAACTTTGTGCAATCATAATGGTATGAGAAATAGCATTTCACGTGGGTCATCCCACATAGAGGCAATCTGATCTGTCAGATAAATTCCAAAAAGT